AGACTAGATTCCTGCTCTGTGTTGTAGTAAGAATAATAGTCTCACTCTGAGGGCTTGTTCCCTCATCAGACAGGATCATGAGCACGCATATACAATCTCTAACATCAGACCGCAGCCCTGCAGAGCTGAGAAACAGCTTAAACGCTGTTCTTGGTATTCATACACCGCACCTCAGCACGGGTGGACAGATGGAGCATCACTTGGGTGACGGGGACTCGCTCAAAGCAACAGCACAATTAAATTAGCAAGAATCAGGTCCAGTATAATGCTGTAAATGTCCACTCGTGATAAGGAAGACTGAGCCAAAGAACATCGAGGAAGGAAAAAACTTATAACTCTGCTCCTTGTATCATGGATAAGAAGGAAGTTTATTCCACGAAACACAACTTTTATTGTTCCAGTTTATAGTTAAGTCAGGCCTCTGATGAAAAGAGAAAAACCACAAGTTTGGAGTATGGATAATTAACTGCTAAACCAAAATGTTAGAGACAAACTTGAAGTATTCCTACCAAGGTTTTCCCTTCGGTTTAAAAAAAAAGGGACGTCTCTGTTGGTGTCATAACAAGGATCTTTTTTTCCCCTCTCCCAAGAACATATGTAAGCAATTTGTATAACAAATGTTGGTTTTAGACCGTTTCCCTTGCATACAAGTGGCTTCTCAAAACCTACAGGGCTCCATTCGTTAGTGCTTGAAAGCAAAGCAAACAAATTAATTAACACTATCTTTACATGGGGTGGCCAAGGAAAGCAGGCGCTGAAATGTTACACCATTACCTAAATTCGCATCTGTCTATGCCCCCACCCCACCCCATGCCTGCCCTAGTCCTCCCCCCCGATGTGTACTCTCCCAACCCTGCCCCAGCGCACACAGCGCCCTTGAACAAGGCTGAAGGACCACCTGTGTGAAAGAGGAGACCCTCTCTGTTATGTCTCTGCTAGGGAATGAAATAACATGGAATCCAGCTCTGCAAATAACTCACAGTGAAGATCATTTTCCACATGCTGGTTGACAAAAGGTAAAATAAGAACAGATGATATCCCCTCTCTCTCTGGATGTTTGTAGCTCTGCTCTAAGGCTTATGCTTCGCAGCCTTTCTTTACACTTACAGTTGTCCAGCTCTGCGTGCAGGCAGACGGGAGGTCCTGACCCCTTTAGCGGCCTCATTAGCTGAGCAGTATGCGATATGAGGCCTCAGTCTTATACTGAGTCAGCCTTTTTTTTTTTAAATGCCCTCACTGGGGTAAAGTTGAGAGGGTTTTGAGGAATCTGATCCTAGATCTGTGTGCCATCATAAGAAGCTGGAGGTCTTCTTCTAAACTGAGCATCCGTCAGAGTGAAGAGGCTCCACTGTGACTCTGGCCAAGACGTAGTCCAGCACGTAACCTCCCGTGAACCCTGTGTTATTTTGAAACTCGGGTTTTTGTAGCGATCAAGCAAACAAGACATAACATGGTAGGAACTGAGGCGATGGTGGGGGAAATGGAGCCAGCAGATCTGTTTCTTCTTGTTTCCAGTCTTCATGTTAAGCCAGGGCTGACTCTAGCTGTTTTGATGCCCTAGGCAAGATCAGAAAGCAGTGGCCTCCAACAGCTGTAATGAGCTCATATCAGAACCTGAAGATGTCCGCTGCGTAACAAACGATCGGACTGTAAGATTGGCATTCTGTGTGTGGATCTTACAGCTGCAGGTAACCCCAAAGAAGCTGCAGGTATTTAATAAGCTCAGAAGAAAGACTCCTACAAACAGCAGAAAGCAACAAGCGCTACTGTCGCGTTTAATTTTATATTTACAATCTAGTGATTCTTACCTCCATATTCTTCTGTCTTCCTCCCCTTCCTCTCTCTTTTTTTTGCGCCACTTTCAGCGCCTTGTGTTTCTGATCATTTTAAAACCTTTCATGAGTCATTTCGCAGATGTGATTCGAAGGCGGGATTAGACGCAGACATGGAGGATAGCGCACATGCTATCAGGAACTGGTTTCGCGTATCACATCACGATAGCAGGCAGTGTTTACTCATGTTGTGCACATGAGACTGACGGTTCAAAAAGCGCACTAGATTTATTATTGTAAATAAAAATCTACTTTTGTTGATGATGTTGTTACTGATCTCTTGGCCTTTCAGATCCTAGGCAACCAGACCGGCTCTGTGCTAAGCTAACCAGCTGCTTGATTCTGTTTACTGTGAGACCTGCTTTAGTCTTCCCACCTAAATCTGGGCATGAAAATGTATCTTGTGTATCATAAGAAAAACTTTAAACTTCAATAATGACTCTGACAAGCATCTCCGGAGAGATTCATAATCAAATTAAGCACACCTCAGTCTGTGCATTTCTTTTCCTTGCAGGCCTTTGTTCACCTCTTGGAGGAGGACACATAAGAAGTTGCTCTAATCCAAATAAACAGGTGAGGTGCTTATTAGCCCCCCTGTTCCCAGTGCAAGTGTAACTTCATTTTCAATTCTGACTCTCTCTCTCTCTCTCTCTGTGACTCACGGGAGAGCAACTTCAAAGCTGTAGCTTAATGCACTTGAGGTCATTATCTTCATTTCTATATCCTCTGCAGGTTCTCAGCATATGGGAACATTTTGACTCTGGATTTTTTTTTCATCTGCAGCCATAAATCTGCCATGTCAACTATAAAATATGGCAGACCAGCAACAGATGTAGCTCTAATAGCTACCAAAAAAGAAAAAAAAAAGTAGAAGAAATCAAAATTTACCACCACTACATTTTTATTCTAACATAGATTGATTTCAGTTTTGTACAGAGGTGATGGACACCAAGCGAAAATCAGAGGAGGCCCGTGGGGAGGGAGGAAAAGTGTGTTTCCTTTTAATGTTCTGTTATTCTTGCTCAGTCACTTTCTTTCTCCTCTTCCCCCTTTTCTTTAATCCTTCTCCTTCCACCCTTTTAGCTGAGACCAATTCTCCTTTCATCCTCCTCGGCAGCGAGGGCCCTGGTGTCTGTTCACACAAAGCCTGCCCATCAGTGACTCCTCATCAACCCCTTCTTGCCCAATTCATCAAGCAGAGGCCCATGGGCATTTATCACCCCTACCACCTTTCATATCCTGCACCAGCTGAAAGCCACTGTCCCTCCTCTGACTTCAATGCAGCCATGACACACCCCTAAGATTTATGGAGGCATAATTAGTAGCAGTGAAAAAGGCTTGCATGCTTTGGAAGGTCAATCATACTGTATCCCACTCCGAGAAACTCTGAAAGCCGCTAACATCTGCTTCAAAATAGATTGCGCCAGTGCCACAAAAGCTGATAAATTAGCCCCAAAAAACAAGAAGCCAAGAGATCCATCTAAAGCCTGACAGTGACATCAAAACAATCATACACACTTTGGGTGATTTTAACACGCTGTTCGTCACTGTTCATTGGAAGTGAGACACTGTCATAAATCCCCTTTCTCTACAGGGAAGCTGCTGCTGCTGCCTGTGATGAGCAGCTCTGAGGTGAGAACTCCCCCTCAGGACGGGGGTTTCTGAAAGCAGCTTGAGGGAGGTCTAAAACAACACACCTTAATAGTTAAGTGATGTTATTCATGTAATCACTCCCCTCTCCTTCCTTCTAAACCCATCCTGCTGTCACTGATATCTCAAGAACAGTGAACTAATTAAAACGCTCCCGGAGTTTAGTTTTGATCTTCGAACAGGAATACAGTCTTCACCAAACAGCTTTGTTTTTTCTCTCTCTCTCTCTCTCCCCCCCTGCACAGCTACACGTTAGGACCTGTAGTGCCATTGTGCCCAGGAGAGATGCAAAAATCCCCATTCAGAGCCATAAATTACACCTATTATTCATTAGTCCTGCTGTAACTTTCTCTGTGTTCTTTTTCACGGGCACGATGGCAAACATCAAATATTGTGCTCCTCTTGATTTATTTGACAGCTGTAGTTATTAGTTGCTTTTCAGATTGTTATTTTACATCTAAAACATGCGACTGTCTTTAAGATTAATTTAACTGAAGATGAAGAATGCACAGTCTTGGCCAGGCACAGCCTAGAGGAACTTGGAACAATAATTTAATACATTTTCTACTACTTCTACTACTCTGACATCTAACAGCTTCTGACTATTGCTACTTTTAGTTAATTAAGTAAGAAGCAGAAATATTTCCTCCCCGAGAATGGCTATCTGTGGTGTTTGGTGCTTACTCTCTTGATGTATTTAGAAGTTTTCTGTGCTGCTAAAGTGACTGTTTAAGACTCTGCACCAGTCACATTTAATGCTACATGTCATCAGCATTTGGATTTTCCTTCTTCTTCTTTTTTTTACACCCCCCCTCCACCCCCACCCCTTCCTTGCCAGTAGTAGAAGTGGTTAAGCTCCTGGTTTCGCTGAAGCACGCTGCAAACGTTGTGCAGAGGGGCAAGGAAGCACCTGCTTCCAAGAGGAGGTGGAGAAAATGCTCTCGTGAAAAGCTCCAACTGCAGTGGTTGGCACTGAAACTTGTGCGGGAGGTTGGATTACTCCGAAAGTATGCACAGGTTATTTTGATAATCTTGTGTGTGTGTGTGTGTGTGTGTGTGTGTGTGTAGTGTAGGGTGGGATGGGAGGGGGGGGGTGAATGTTTCTTTGCGGTTTTCCTTTGTGGCTTCCAGGAGTCTGTGGTGTGACTCAAAACCCAGTCAGTATACATTATGGATTGGCTTTGTGGTGAAGAAGTTCTCACAACTTATGGTGCATTTTCGGCTTTACGCCAGCTGTCATTTGTCTTTTGGCCATGGTGATCTTTGATTCCGCTCCACAAACTTTTACCAGACTTTGCTGCCCTGAAACAAGCGGTGCGGTTTTATCCGAAAGCCACGGAGCGCAAAACGGGGGAACTACGCGAAGAAGATACTTCTTGACCAGGATTTATTTGATCGGAGGATCAGATACGGCTCTCTGAGAGGGCAGAGACACGCACGCACGGACAGCGGCACCATCACAAGTAGAGAGAAAGAAGAAAAAAAAAGTTGGACTGAAAGTGCACATTAAGTAAAGCAAACTGATGCGCGTAAGAAGGGATGCCAGCCAGGCGTGGCTTGTGTCTGAATATCCAATGTGAGAATGCGTGGGGAGCATGTATATAATAGAGTCTTTCTATTTGATAAACACAGATATCAAACTCATGATTGCAGCAAAGCACCATCAATAAACTGAGAGGACTGCGCTGATTTGGAGGAGCAACGGCGCGCTGCGTGGTACGCTTTTTGGCGTGCATGGACCGGACTTCTGTGAACTTTTCTCTCCTTCCTGAATTTACCGATTACATCCCAAAATACCGTCGTTTAATTTGACAGCTGTGCACACAATGGCAGAGGTCGTGAGTGTTCTGGGGACGCTCGGCTTGGATTTACAAAGCACTCTCTCTTCGGTGGGGACTATGCCCGTAACAGAGTCCCCCATAGGGCTGAATGAGCGACTGGGGCAGATTGAAGGCAGAGTGCAGCGCGGGTCGCCCACAGATTTCGGCCACCTCAAAGGGATCTTGAGGCGGCGGCAGCTCTACTGCAGGACCGGCTTCCAGCTAGAGATATTCCCCAATGGCACAGTGCACGGGACAAGACAGGACCACAGCAGGTTTGGTCAGTATTTCTTTATTCTTTGATCTATTATTTGGAGACAGAATTTCATTTTAATCTTTACCGAACTATTTTTAATACCCCATTTATCTCCAAAACGGTAAATGAGAAAGGGGTCAACTTTCCCCCATACATATATACCCGGTTAAGAAGGGGTTTTATCAAGAAGTTTCTTCTGAGCGTCCCCGGTGAATACTCGTTCGTGCGTCACTGTCACCTGGCGCGAGGGCACACACCTTTTTCTGGCAATCCCCGCTGCGCGTGGGCCACAGGTGTCTCTAATCAGGCGCAAACAAGCAGCGAGCGCGCGCGTCCTGCAGCGACAGCAACAACAGGCTCGCAGGCTCTCGCGCGCGCAGGTCAGAGGGTTTTCTCTCGTTAATTAACAGACGTTATTTCACAGCAGGAAACACAGGTATGTATATGATATCATTAAAAAATAACAGTACTTGATTTAATTCTAGTCTCGTGGCCTGTTTTTATTATGTTTGTATTAACTTTACAAATAGAAGGTTGAAAAACTGTGTGCGGCTCGCGCGACACGCGAATCAAACGAGGTCAGAGGGCAGACTCGCACATGTCTCGCGCAGACTCGTCACAGGTGCAGGCCGGGCGAAAACGGGTAAGGGGGAAAAAGGCGGAATATCTCTAAATTAAAGCGTGACCACTGCGGAATTCAGAGAAGGTTTAATGTTCAAACTTGAGCCAAAACGAGCCGGTTTTAGAGACATGGGTGGTCCGCGTGTTTGTTTCTGGCTTCGCTTAGATTTAAAGTGCAAAGATCTTTGTGAGACCTGCGTGGTTTTGATTAGAGGGGTATGGGACACACCCCTCTTCAAATAAATAAATAAATAAATGAGAAGGATCTTCTATGTCATCCTCTGACATGGGATGAAGTCGCGGAGATGGGGACCAGGTGGCTGTAGGCTGGCCTCTCTGCCAGTCAGCACAGGCAGCTGGATCCTCTCTGACTAACCTCCGCATCAACAGTGGCTTTTAATTTTACCAGTTGTTTCCCAGCCTTTGATGTAGATGTTCGCTTTATTGTAACTTCCTCCGAGTCAGCGGTTCACTAAACAAGTAACCCACGTCTCAGCTTCATAAAAGCGACTTCACAGCCTGCGGGGGAAGTCCCAAAGACAGGATGAGCGCATTTATAAGCTATTAAAAATCTCATAGGTAGGAGAGGCAGCCCTTCGATTGCTTAATGGTCTTAAAACGGCAAATTTTCAAATGAAGTCTGGAATAGCTGCAGGATTTTGCATAAAATGACAGTAAGGACTGGTCTGCAGTCAGATTAAAAGAGGCCACCTGCTTGCGTTCTTTAGGGGTGATCACACTGAGTTTGTGGGCTTGTCTCACCAGTGTTTCCATGTTATGTGTTTGACCTCAGGTATCCTGGAGTTCATAAGTATAGCAGTAGGTCTGGTGAGCATCAGAGGGGTGGACGCTGGACTCTACCTCGGCATGAATGAGAAAGGAGAGCTCTATGGGTCGGTGAGTCAAAAACCCCTCCTTTCACTTCACCACCCCTCACCGACAACCTCTCTTAAAGAATATACTATCGCCTAGTCATTCCCAAGGAATTAAACTTTCCTTCATTCATGTGTCTTTCTTTTTTTCTACAACACATGTCAGTACAGAGCTATCAAAACGTTTAACAAGGTTCCCATATGCAGCAGATGGGCAAAAGCACAGTCAGACAAAACAAGTATGTTTCCTATTACTTACACTTGTTTTCTGTGTGAGGGGAGTCGAGGATAATCAGCTTTTAGAGTGAAAACCAACCACTTCATTTAGTTTTGAGATATGCGGAAATATTTACATATTTTCCCAAAGTGGAGACGGGAAGGGCTGACGTTACTCTGGATGTGAGCTGTGTGTGAATTTGGTGGAGATTGCACCTCCCTGCTCTTCAGTTTGACCTGCAGTGCTGTAAAAAACATAGAAGAGAGATCTGGTAGTTTTTCCAACAGCCTCTCTTTCCGACCGACACATGGTGCATACCTGCAGTCACAGGGAGAGGAAAGGGAAGAGATGAAGACAATGAAGGGGAAGTATGTGAGGCTTTACCTGTATCAGGTGTCCCAGGGCATTACCTGAGGGGGCCTCTCAGGGCTCAGACTACCCCGCACCTCCCCCGAGCATTTCGAACAGAGGCTACTTTTAAGCACGGCCATTATGTGGAAAGTGCAGATATTGTTACTGCATACTATCAGAGTCTGGCTCCCATCCTGGAGCTTTGACCCGGGGTGGTGGTGGGAGGCGGTGATTTGGGGGTAATTGCACACCTGACTGAGTCATCTGACTGACAGAGGGAGCCATGTAGACATGTATGAGTCTGAGGGGCCAGGGAGGGGAGGATAGCGGGTAAAAGGGTGCTTCCGTCCAACAACCACCAGACCATGACAAGCGTTTGATCCAATGAGGTGTGTGTGTGTGTGTCTCTGAGAGAGGATGTGTGTGTGTGTGTGTGTGTGTGTGTGTGTGTGTGTGTGTGTGTGTGTGTGTGTGTGTGTATTAGGATGGAGCTGGCCCAGTCATGTGCCCTCTGGGCTGTGTTTACAGACAACAGCTTCGCTACACAGCCGCAGCCAAGCAGAGCCTGACAGCCAATCAACAAAATTGCTTCTGGAATAAAACACGGCAGTCTCGCACAGATGCTTCTGAGTGTGTTAAAGGCAGAGAATGAGAAATATTTCATGTTCTGTAGATGTATTTTCTACCAAAAAACACAAAAAAGGTAAAAGAGCAAGCAAACATTCAGAAGTGGTCCTCCGCTGAAAACCTTTTACTTGACAGGGTTCGACCCTCTTTACAGACCAGCAGAGGCTGACTGGTCTTGGCAGGAAAGCAGCTCAAACACTGATGTCTCTTATTGTTCCCACCCATCACCCAGCCAGCATGCTCTCACCTGCTGAACCCACAGCCATCGCTCATGCTGTTCTGTCAGTGAAGGCTGAGGCTTTGAAAGCTGCTCTGTATATATGTGTGTGTGCATGTTTGGTTCAGAGGTGGGGGTGGAAGACGTCCGCTTGGCGTTGTCATTGCATCACAGGGAGGGGAATAGTTCTCCATGCACAACGAGAGGTTAACAGGTCTGCGGAGCATAAAGTGAAAATCCGCTCGTAATGACTTCGCTCCTTTTGTCATAATGAGCACCTGCCTAAATGAGTTTCCACTGGTTCATTTCCACTTCTAAGTGCACAGTGTACAATAGTTAATGACAGACATAAGCTGGTGCATCAAGAGGAGAGGAATCTGCATGCGAAGCTCAGTCTTGACTGCGTTTTTTGCAAATGTTTTCTGCATTTTCAAACCTGTTGTTTCCTCTCCTGCAGAAGAAGCTGACAAAAGAATGTGTGTTCAGGGAGCAGTTTGAGGAGAACTGGTACAACACCTATGCTTCAACTCGGTACAGGCACACGGACACGGGGCGCTTCTACTATGTGGCTTTAAACAAAGATGGTTCGCCCAGGGAGGGCGGCAGGACTAAAAAACACCAGAAGCTCACCCACTTCTTACCCAGACCGGTGGAGATTGAAAAGATCCCTCAGGAATTCAGGGATTTATTCCAGTACAGGTGACCAGTGCTTACACTGGGAGAGCTGGTTATTTCTGAAGGAACAGAGATAAAAGAAAAAGACAAAAATGAGGGGGCGGGGGAGGGATATTGCGGATATTTTGGACCTGGTACAGAACTGTTTACCCTCACCCCCCACCTGAGGTTACCATGTTTGCATCATCTGCAGCGGACTTCAGAGAGGAGATAAAACTCTCTTATAAAACCCCTGTTATCATGGACAAAGGAGGCCCTCATGACTGCCCAGCTGTGGCTGAATCAGGAAAATCAAATCAGGTGCCATGTTTTCTCTATAAATGCATAACAGAGGTTCATGTGTAGATACCGAAGAGGCAAAATGGGAGTGGTCGCTCTTGATGGTTTTGGCCGGGACAAGGAACAGTCAATGAGAAGTGACTTTTAGGAGCTAAGGACATAAATCCCTGCATGATGTCACAGTGTGCACACTGTTATGGCAACATTAAATGTAAAGGAGAGGGAAGGAAAGCACATTCCACATATACAGCAGAGATGTGCAAACTTTGTGCTACATGTTTGTTAAGCGGTAGTTTGGGATATGTGATGAGATTGTCTTTGAGTTAGCTACGAGCAAGTTTTGTTTCAAATAAAAGACAAAGGATGGGAATAATGTCTCCGACTCTGGGATCAATCGAACTGCACTTACTGCACATCCCAAGTCTCAGCGTCACGCTCGGTTGGTCTGAGTTTAAACATCAGATTAAATTCAAACAAACACAAAAAAGCTATGGGAATTTAATATGCAAAAAACAAAAGCAGTTAAGCTCGGGCTAAAAGCACTTCATCCGACTGGGGTTGTGAAGACTAAAGAAATGGGTGTTCTTTTTAAGGATGATGACTTGTAATGTTCAGAGCATCGGGGAACATTATTAAAAATGCAAGCAGCTGAGGTGTACATATGGGTGTTCCTATTTATGAGATGTACAATATATTTATTTTCTACATATAAAGTATAAATGTAAATCTATATATTTATTTATTGCAAAGACTTTATTTTGTAATGAACTTGAAGTTATCTGGACTGCAGATTCTACTGAATTGACACCAAAAAAGGCAAACAAAAAATGAAGAACTGCAATGAAACGTGACAATAAAATTGTCCTGCTATCGCAACGTCATTGTGAGAGACCATTTTTGCTTGCATTAAAGTCTGTACCAATTAAAACCAGATATGTGAATCCTGCATGTCTTTCCTGTTATTTCAGCCTATTGTGGCAAAATATTTCACTTTTAGATGCTTCTATCACTTTAACATTTTCACTGACATTAATGCCAAGAGAGAATAAATTAAAAAAAAATGTCAGATTCTTTCCCATACCAATTTGCCCTCGTAAACCCCTTACCAAGTGAAGGGTTACATTATCAAGTAATGTGCACAGGCTCTGTCTCCATGAGGTCTTAGCCAGCCTACATCCACCATACAAAATCAGATTCCTTATGCAACCGGATCCCTAATTGGCTTTACACATCAGCGTGGATTAAGAGCAGTGATTGGTCGTTCACTGCAGGGGCCTCACGGTCTGGCCCTACAGCGGGTCTTTTCAACAGACAGAAACAGCTGCATGCAGTGCGCAGAGAACCAGCAGGGATGTGCTGCAGACCTGGAGTGGTGGCTCTGAAGTTAAGTGAGGATGGGATCAACATTTCAACATCTGCAATAGTTGTAATGTTTCTCCACTGGCAGATATCTGTAAGCTGGGAGAGCAAGCTCCCCTGGGGGGGAGGGAATGGAAAAGTCAAAGACATGCAGGGGGAAAACCCTGGCAGGCTGAGAAATGAAAACAATACCAGCAGAGGGGAAAAATAGATGAAAGATTGAAGGGAGAAGAGAGTGGGACAAAAGGCACTTTGCTGTGGGTGTGAAATACAGGGACGCTGCATCAGGATGAATCAGCGTCCCAGCTGTTAAAGGAATAGCCGTAAATTTTGGGAAATGATTTGCTCTCTTGCCAAGAATAAGTTAAGAAAACTAATACCGCTCTCATATCTGTCATAAATAGGAAGCTGAAGCCAGGAGGCAGTTCATTTAGTTTAGCATAAAGCCTCAAAGTTTGCCTCGTAGTAAGTTGACGTCATACACCATATTCAACCCAATAGCCCCACCATCACCTTTATAGTGTTTTTGCTATGATAACCTAAAGTAAGTAGCTGCTGACTGTAGCTTCAGATTTACACTACTGTGCAAAAGTCTTGAGCCACACCTCAGTTCAAGGAGCCAGACCACTTTGTATTTTTCTCTGGTCTTGAGTAATAGTTCTCCAGGTTTTCTGAAGGTCTTTTAAAGTTCTTCTTTGGCGTATTATTGGCTTTTTTTTTCCCCCCATTTGAAGCCGTTCTTAAGATTGACTGAAAACCAGTGGCAGCTGATTTTTATGGAAAGATGAATTCAAATTTGAAATGGTTAGTTCAAATTGTTGTCAATATGTATGAAAGAACAACCACAAGTGTCTCCACAGTGGAGGCTTTGTCATGGTTTGGGGCTGCATTTGACAATGCAGCAAAAGCAGACCCGGATTACAAAACAGTGAAACACTATCAGTCATGGATTGGCCTCCCCAGAGCCCAGACCTCAACATTATTGAAGCAGTTTGGTCTCACTTTGCAGAGAAGGGAACAAAAGGCAGCCAGCAGTAAAAGAGGAGCTTTGAATGTCCTTCAAGCAGCCTGGAGAACTAATCCTGAAAATGACTTAAAGAATATACAAGAAAACTGCCTGAGAGTGGTCAGGCTGTGTTAATGAATAAAGGTGTTTATAACAAACACACCTTGTTAAATAAACCTTGTTAGAACTGTACAAACTGCTTTGCCTCATTTTTCTTTATCTCTTTTGGTGGCCAAATGGCAGGTGGCTCGGGACTTTTTGCACAGTACTCCAACAAAGACAAATGTAAGTGGTAACAATTCTGTAACACTTGGCAAGAAAGCAAATATGCACGGTTCACAAAAATGCAATCAAAACCATTTCCTGCCTATTAGTTGTGCATTTGTTTCCTGTGTATTATTCCCCATCAGTCTCCACCCAAACTCTCCTGTCTAATAAGGCATAACATGCAACGATCATCAAGGTGGAGCTAATCAGAGAGAACAAATGTGCAACCAGCATTCCTCTTTGTAAACTCAGCGAGGTGAATCAGTGGCAAGTACTTCAATCCCTTTAATAAAAAATAAAAAAAAGACTCCAACACATGCACCGGTTATACTTTTGGTCACTTTATTAAATGTTATATTAAATACTTATCAAGATAATAGCAGATCAGATTCATGGCAAATCATGTTGGTGTATTCGCTAACGTAAGAACATTCTTAGACAAGGGCAAAAAACGTTTTCTACATTTATGAAATACACCTTGTGCAAACACAGGAGTCAATCGGAGAAGGCAAGTCGTCTCTCCGTGAGAAACGTTCATATTCCTCATGTTCAACAGCTACACCAGTTTAAGCATTTAGAAGCATGAATGTGCCAAAGTAGAATACAAGTAGTCTGGGGGCCTGCCTGGTGAGACTACAGTGTCCAGGAGAACATTTCTCACAAAGCAGAGGACACAAATCAGCCAGGTATAATAAGATTTCCAGCCTTTACTCTGTCAATCCCATCTGGAAACGCATATTTCAAACGCTGAAAGATGCTGAAAGGTAAAAGTTCTGGGCCCTCTGTGACACCTGGCTGAACCGCCTCCGCTTTGCGAGACCCGGCCTCTCACCCAGGCTCGGGGATCAACACAAGTGGAACGTAATGAACGAGACGCACGGTGCTATGCTAGACGACACGTGACAATGAGGGTGACGTTACAAAAGGGTCATAGGAACTGGCAGGCAGTTTCTGAACAACACAAGCATTCCGTTACCATGTTCAGCGACAACTAATGTAAACACTTAAAAGCATAATAGAAAAGATTCTCAACAAACCTCAAATCTTTACAGAGCTTTTTTTGTTTTGTTTTTTTAGCAAATCAATAAGGCCATATTTTTTTTCCCCCAGTACCCCCCCCCCCCCTTTTATCAGTTTCTCCCATCTTCCAAAAAGAAAGAAAGAAATAAAAAGCAGGACTTGCAGCACCAACAGCTGTCTGCTTTGCTAGATAAAGGTGGAGGAATCTACTGGAGTTCATCATCGTGTAGCGCTTTGCATCAGAGTCCTGTCACCAACAATACTGGTCCCACTCAGGTGTAGATAGTTAGGCATTTAAAACCGTATAAAAAAACTGAGCTGGAAATAATAAGGAAACCCTTTTTTTAAAAAGGGCAAATCAATACAATGCCTTAAAGCATTGGGGGTAAAACTTTAAATACATGAAAAATGAAGATATAGAACTTGAATAACATTAAGGCGGTATATACATTTTTTTCCCCCTCTCCTAACAGACATTTCACACAGTCATTTATACATTACATCCTCTCAGTGAGTTACAGAATAAAGCACTGAGAGTCTCTCTCACTTGAGGCTCCAGTGGACAGCAGTCCAGTCTCAGTCTCTCACCGACCCTCTGGCTCGTTGCATCTGTGTGTTTTGAGCTTCTTTTTTTTTTTTTTTTTGGGGGGGGGGGGGAGGACCTACAGGCCCTTGGAGGGGCCAGGATTTTTGCCCATACCCTGATGGCCGCCGAGGCCGTGGAGCTGCTGGTAGAGAGTGAGCAGGTCCATCTGACTGAGCCCGCCGGCTCCCATCATGCCATTCTGCAGGGCCAGCTGGTTTAGGTAGCTGGCCTGATTGGCCATGGCCAGCTGCTGCTCCTGCACCTTCCTGTTGGTAATCAGCTTCTGCACGTACATCATCAACTGAAACACACAGACATTGAAAATTAACACAATTCAAAGGTAAAAAGTACACTTTGCCCTGTCACGGTTTAACACAATGACAAAAATTATAGGAAGTAGTGAGGGTGGCAGTCCCTTGTCCTCGTTAAAACCCAGCTCAACAGCTGACATCAGAGGTCACATATAGTGGTGTCTCTGAGCTGTAGTCAAGGCTGAATCAGAGCTTTTAAGAGGTCAAACTGCCTCATGCTTTCACAGACAGACAGTAAACAGAGATACTACTCCCACGCTAACCTTTTTTCTTGGCTGGTGCAGGTAAACCAGTATAGCCCTCTCAGCACAAAATGTTGTGATGCACAGTGATATTATTGCCAGTTTTTGGCCTTTTGACTGTTTGGTCATAATGGATTAATTTACAAATTACCCTGTTTAACCACCATAGATAAACTAATGAAATTAAACTACTGTGATGATTTGTTGGCGTCATTCAGTTGTCTGTTCTGTCTCGTATACAGAGTGGCTCTTACCGACTGCTGCCTGTTGAGGACATCCCTGTAGATCGCTTCCCTGCGTTTAAGCTCTAGCTCCACGGTGGCCTGTCGCCCCAGAGCGGCAGCCTGGACCTGGTTCTCCGTAAGCGCTGGGTTCTCTTTCCACTGTGGTGAGAGGCAACAGCCATTAAAACATACAGTGATCCCTGTAAATGGAAAGTGATTTCAAAGACCTCACCACTCTGCTGATTATATCTTCCAGCGACTCCCGTGATAAAGACTTTAAAGCATTTGTAGCCTCGATGACTTTCTGTCGGCCCTGGTTTATGAGATCCTGAGCAAAAACAAAACAAGGCAGAGAGAATACACATGAGACGAAGGCAGGTGATCTTTGCTTGTATTCACTGTGTCGAGTACTTGGTGACCAACAGTAGAGCAATATATTCAGCTGCCTCTTCAGTGAGCCTCTCTCATCCATCACAACTCCCCCAGAATGTTAGTTAGTGTTAGTCCTTCCCTTTCAGCCATGATAGCACCAGTTCTCCACCTGCTCAGGAGCAGACCTCACAGCAAAGACCAACACATCCTCTTCAACCTCAGGATAACAGAGTGAATGTAGAGGCCGCTCTACATTCACTAGAGGTGCCTCTATTCACACATTCACACAAAATAATATCACCACTATGACTGATCAGCCTGTCTTTGGGGAAACAAGACAGGAAACCTCTGAGCTAGTTGGCTAATAGCAGCAGAACTTCAAAATAAAAGCAGGGACTCTCCCATAGGGCTGCTCGATTATGGCAAAAATGATAATCACGATTATTTTCACTGAAATTGAGATCACGATTATTTGACGATATTTATTTAACCCTTTAAGACCTACTATAGAACCAAGTCCACCAGAGCTTATATTATTTTTTTTACATGCTGT